CGAACGCTTCGCGAACGCTTTAACAACGATCGCGGGTCAACGATTGGACCCCTGGACCCCAACCTTTAAAACGGGAACCCTTCTGCTACGCATTCGGGAAAAAGGACCCCAAGAGGGACCCTAATTTAAAGAACTACCCACATAATAATGTCGTCTGGAGTTGAACCATGTCCCGTAGCAACACGGGCTGTCAACTGTCCCGTTACTCTGGGGTCCGGCAGTACCGCAGTCACCAAACAAGTTCATTGCGAGCGCTTAGCCGCCAAGGGCGCAACGCACTCGTCAGGTTAGTATCCTGAGGGATGTCGGCATCGGCTGTGCATGAGACGAAATACTGCCTTCGGACAGACTGCTGTCAACAAGTCCCCACAAATCCTGGCCCCAGCCGTGGCTCTTTCGGACCTGCGACTACACCTGCGACGCCCAGACGCTAGGAAGTCAACGAAAGCTACCCTTCGAAGAATGCCCCATCGACCAATTCCCTGCATACTGCCACCGCTACTGCTACTGCAACTCTTTCTGCTACTGCCGCTCCTACTCCTCCTATTCCTGCTGCTTCCCCTTCACCTTCCACTTCTGCCTGCACTTCCACTACTTCTACTACTGCTACCAACTACTGCGGCTGCTACTGCTACTGCTACTGCTGCTGCTACTACCTGCTGCTGCTACTACCTGCTGCTGCTGCCACCGCTGCGGCTACTGCACAAGCAGCACTACCAATACCACAACGACGACGACGACTACCACTGCCACACTACCACCACCACCTCCACCACCATCCCTCCCACTCCCACTGCCACTACCGCTACCACCACGACTGCTACTACTAACAATAAGGCGAAGAAGGGTACGACGGCTACGACGACGACTTCAACTAGGTCTAGGACGAGGCCGAAGGGGGCCAGGGCCAGCACCAGAGCTACGACTAGGACTAGGACTAGGACGACGACGACTACTACTGCTACCACCGAAGATGTGGCTTCAATTCAACAGCCTCTGCTACAATGTATTCTACAAATATGAAACCGGAATCTTCAAGGGTTGATATCGGCACCTCGAAACATCTTGTCAGAGGAAGCTGCGAAACGCTTTTCGGGACAAGAGAGAATCTCCTGCTTGAGAGCTAGACTACAGTGCACAGGTTCCTGCATCACATACCCGTTCGGATCCCGCAGCTCCTTGCCGAACTTTGGGCTGGGGATCTTCATCTCATCCTGATGTTTGGCGTCATCGGCTGGGGTCGAAATGGATGTGGGACAACACAATCTGAAGAAGAAGACTTGCTGTTACTAGTGCTGGGATTACTTTACTGGTCTGCTAGAGTGTTTTGAAATTATGTTCGAGACAAGGCACATCAGTTTTTGCAGTTATTTTTATGACTTGCAGCAGCAGTAGCAGTAGCAGCAGCAGAAGCAGTAGCAGAAAGCCGTAGCAGTAGCAGTCGTCGTGGTAGCAGCAGTCGTAGTCACCGTCTGACCTTGTAGACCGTGCTGGGGCGAGACAGCGAGGGCGGCGTTGCAGACATAGCCGTGGCCGGGGGCGGCTGCCTCCCGTACATGCAGGATTCAGCCGATCTGATGGTTAGACGGGCACTTGCACGGGTTTTGAGGCTGGCTTTGATTGGGCTTCCAGCTCTTCCCACGGCGCCTGCGCACCATGCCGATGCTCCATCGCCGGCTGGGGCCGCGCGTGCTGGTGCCGTCACTGGGCGCAGGTAGGCAACATTCGCCAGTAGCAAGGAAAGATGTTCTCAGGGCTGGATTCTGGCCTGCGGATAGTTGAGGATGATTCTCTCAGCGGTACAACTACGGGATCAAAATGAGACATGTCAATTTAATTCAACTCAGCTCGGTCCAGTACAAGCTGTGGGACACAAGACCGGCCTTTGCATCCGCTTGGCATTCCTGGCATCGGCATTGCTCTGGTATGCCAACCTCAGCGGCATGGCAGAGCCGTTTGAAGCCTGTGCCGAATAAAGCACCCAGTATCAGCCTGCCTCAGCAGGAGTCCGCTAGCCACAGGCAGCTTAAGCTTGCAATCCTTCGTGTAGACACTTTTATGTAAGGTAATGTGCGATGGCAAACCTCTTCCATGAAACGTCAGGCAGCTTGTTCTGCACAGTCATGTCTTCATCCTGCACACAGGTACGCAGCAATCATCAGACCGCAATGCCCTACCCGTGGCTACATGGCATGACCAGCAGGCAGAAGCTCTCCTCGTCCCCGCTCAAGGCCTCCACCGATCGCTCGGGATGGTTGAAATACCTTCCGCACTGTGCACTGACTTCTGTTGATACGACTTTGAGTCTTGACCATGGAAGCTTCCAGTCGGAGCTTCCGGGGAAGACTTTGCATTGCTTTAAATGCAATTCTCTGCCGCAAAGTGCTGCAAGTCAGCGCCTCTGAGCCTTGCGAAGCTTCCGCATCCGCAGCGAAGTCTCCTGCGATGGGTCCCCTCCTTCTGGGAAGCCCTGCTTCTGGTGAGAGCCCTGTGAGAGCCGTGGGTACCCACACCAAGTCCTCGTCCGTTTCGGGATCCATGGCCTCGGGGGCGGGGGGATCAGTAGGCTCGTGAGGATCGTAGATCATCCTGGGGTTGGACAACAGGTCGAAAAAGCTGACATGCACTGCCATGCGCGTTGACACATCCTCAGAGACTTGAATCGTCCCGCGTTTTTCTTGCTGCTGGTATCACAGTCTTCTCAGGGACAGGCCGCTGACTTCTGAAATCCGCGTTCAAATTCAGGCAACTGCGGGCTCTTTAGCTGTATGGCAAGTGAGCCAGAACCGTAGATTTTCGCACTAACTGCAGTGGCTGAGGAAGCACACTGCCACCCAATCCGTTCTCCGTGCAGCGGTTGGGTGCACAAGAGGAGGTTGAATCAGTACAGAGATGAAGAGAGATGCGGAAGCTCTGGTGAAGACATGGAGCCACCCAGGATTGCAGCGATAAGGATTGTTAGGCCCACACAGGCTTGGGGGGCGCGAAGTTTGTGGCTTCGGTCAAACTGAGCACGGTAAGAACGATGAGCTGTGGAAACAGATCTGTCCTCTGAGCATGAAGAGCCTGGCGCGGAGCAACGGTCATCTGCCAGAGTCAGGGCATCACCACACGGAGTCCACGACGGGAGGATACGGGAGGTATCCGACGAGTCAAAATCACGAGCCCAGTTGGCCCATCACTGGTGCAGTGGCCCACACTTTGCAGGCACTACTCATAGGGCCCGCACGATCATCTCCATCTTCAGTGCAACCTGCGGTCATGAACTGAGGTTGGATTCTAGAATGAGGCCTGGCAGGAGTCAGGGGAGCGCAGCCCTCAGATGCCATCAGCCTCGAGAAGCTGCTTCTTTGTCTTGAGCACTTCCGCGCGGAGATCTCAGAGTCAGGAGGCCAAGGGCCAGGGAATGCCCCAAACTCACCCGGAGCGGTTTGGCTTCAGAGCCTACAGTACGAGACCCGCCAACTTCGTGGCACAAGCAAATCTGAGGAATCGGACGATTCTCCATGGGTGGCTCCACGATCACGGTCTTCTCAGCCTCCTCAGCTTGCCGCACCATGCTGTCTGCTCGGCGACTGAGGCACACCTGTGCCACCTCAACTGAGGCCGGTGCAGGCCGCAGCCTCAGGTAGGAGGCAAACCTGAGCCCGAAGCTTTGGAAGTGGAAGTCTTGAAAGCTTCGACCAAGATGAACCCAACTTGGGACAGCCAGGCGACGGATTCTCTTCGAATTGGACAGTCGTGCCATCCAGGCGGTCGACCTCCGTCGCGTGTTCGGAATGGGCAAATTTCAGTGCCAGCCCTATCTAGCGCTAGGAGGAGTAGGCAAAATTCAACGGCAGTAACAGGAGCTGAAACTGGCGCATGAACGGCTTCCAAGAAAAAGCCCAAGCCCATAGTCCACAGCTGAGGGCGCTGCCTCAAACGGAACATCCTCCTTCGAAGATTGAGTGACTGGTCGCTCTCTTGGACTTATCATTGTTGCGGTGGCCCCAGGTTGGTGTTTCATGTTCTGCTGTGCCAATATGCGAAGCGTAATAAGCGTCCATAAGGGCTTCTGAAGATATTTTGTAAGAGGACTCCCCACCGGCCTTGGACTCCAGTGACGGGAAGTCCTCAGAATGCGAGTGCGGAATTTGTCAGCTGCAGGGGGCACAGCGAACATGCGAACATCCCATTTAGCCTTGAGCCTTTGCGTTCGAACATCCACGCGACAAGAGCTAGAACCCAACACCGGGAGGAGGGCTTTCGTGCTCAACTTGCATCTGGAAGCCCGAAACAGAAACTTCGATAGACATCTGCAATCCGCAGAACTCTGGGTGTGCGGCCTTCACCGGTGCCAGAGGGGAGGCACAGAGGCTTCTCAATCCCTCGCAGGCAAGACTGGGATCATGATCACTGAACAGCAGGCCCCTGCTTGGAACCCATCAAGAGGACGACTTCAAGGCTTTAAAGACAAGCATAGGTGTCGTGTGGATGACATGAGACCCACCGATGGGGGATCTTTCGCCTCCAGCCGCTCCAGAGATGCAAAGCCTGGGCAGTGCAAGAGATCTTGTGTCTCCTTCAAGAAGCCAATCCCACCCTGCCCACAATGAGACGGTCTGGCATGTTCTGCTGGAAAAGTGGTCGATCGTCCAGGTCACCGGTCTAGACAACTACAGTACGACAAAACCAGGTCCGCGCGCGCCTCCCCCGCCCCCCGGCCCCCTGGCCCCCGAACCTGATGCAAAGGATGGGTCTAATCACACAAAATGCCCGCCCCCACCCGACCTCATCTGGGGAGCAAGCTTGATCTTCACACGGCAAACCCAACATCAAGTTTTGCGCACACCGAATGAAAGACGACTCACACGCCCCTCTAGACTCGAGACCTGTGCATGCATCCCGTTCCCAACACAACCATGGTGCAAGTGCAGCGCGCCAGAACGAGGAACTTACAACTTACAACCCGACTGTTACAGAACCCTCTTTGCACGGCTCGCATTGGCTCACAACTTGGCCAGTTAAGCCACTCTGCAAAACAGCACGCTTCTTTCAAACAACCCGCACCAGCACTTTCTTCAGAGTCCACCTCAACTCCCCAGCTTCTCCCGAGCGGCTGTTCCCGCTGCTGCGGCTGCCCGGCCGAATGGCGGCCTGAGCTGACGATCCAAAGTTTGAGAAGCAGTGTTGAGGCAAGTCGGGTTTTTGAGCTATGGCTGTGGCCTTGTCGACTGTATGCTGATTTTGGCAACAAGTTTTGACGATGACAATAATAACTGTCATTACCGCACCGTCTGTGGATCCATCACACTGGGCCACGCAACATTTGTAGGTGTCCGGATCTCGAGGAAGGCTGCGAAGGGATCGCGCCACTCTGGCAAGTTGAGATGGTTGGACATCTGGCAGGCTTCGGAATTGCCTAGGATCCTGCAGTTCATGATAGTTCATGCATGTGACAGCAGCACGGCTGCTCGACTCTAGGCGCAACCACAACCTGGCAAGTGCCTTCAATCCAAGTCGCGCTGTTAGCATGTTAGCATAGCCAGTGCAACGAGGCTTAACACACCAAGCACAAGAAGAGGGCAACAAGCATGGCGGCAGTGCCCATGGGGCGGATTCAGCACATCCACGATGACGGCCGTGGCTCAAGTGCGCTACCAATTGCCGCAAGTATGCTCGCAGCTCTGCCAACAGCCGCAGTCAAACTCGAAGCTTCTGCTGTGGTTTCTGTTCCAATGGTGCTAGCTGCAGATACAGCCAAGGGGTCAGTGCTCGTTCACTCTCGACGGGTAGGTTGGAGTCAGGTGTGTGAAACCAACTCTGACTGAGCTCACGGACGAAGCAACAGGCGCATCTCGCTCAGTGTTGCGCTGTCGATGGCACCAGCTGCCGCCCCACTGCATCTTGCACAATTCTCACAAGGCTGTTGTTGCGGTGCTCGGAGCTTACCGACCTTTGCCTGTCACTGGGCAATGCTTGCAGTCCCCTCGCTACGTTCAGTGCTTGACAGGCAGCCCAGACAGTTCGAGTCGAGACCAAAGCTTCTGGAACATCCACCACCTAACTCCTGGAAGTTGTCCGGATATCGCTTCTTTTTTCCCCCTGCGCTAGGCACTGGAGCCAGTGCTCCTGTGTCCCCCCGACAGCCCGATTCCAGCCATAACATTCACGTCATGTGCTTCCGCTCTGCTTCCCCCAGGGATCATCTACTTGCAAATCAAGTCAATGGCCGGACTCGGGCTGCCACTGGAAGCTCCCGTGCATCCACGATCCGAGCCACAAGCTGCGATCTTTTTGCTGCCTAGCCTCAACCTTCCGCATATTACGTGGCCACACCCGCTTCTTCGCAATCTTGTGGTCAGGTCCTGTGAATTTGGGATGCCGCACCATTGTAAGTTCGCAGGCCAAGCAGCAACTAAATGCACAGTCCGGTTCTCTGTCCAGGGTGTTGGATCTAGACCATCGGGCTGTTCGAACTCGACTTAGTTCACTCATCAACAAGCTCCAGGGCTTGAGAAAAGCATGTGGAAGCATGAGCAGAGGGCTCCGCTGCATACGAGTTTCGGACCGTCACTGTAGCAAGGTCCGAAGCAGCACGATGGAAACCGCTACGAGCCGCATGACATGCTGAGAGTTTCGAGCGACGCGAACTGCATGTCGCTCTTGCTACTCCACCATCTATCTTACTTGCTGCCAGACATCTTGCCACAGCTCTCTCTGAGGGTTTGTCAAACTTATTGATGCCGCAGCTCAGAGGCAGCAGGGCCTCTGCAGCACAAAGGAAGCAAATCGGCCATGACGCATGATCGGTCGGGCTGCCACTCTGATCCGGGCGGTCTATCTTGAAAAGCTTGACACATGGAATACCTGTCTGCAGCAGCGGACTGAGGCTATTGAAGCAGCTTTCACTTGCCTTGGCGTCGTGGAGCCGAAGGACACGCGCATGCCGGGTGGCTGTTGCGCGCCTGCCGTGGGTTTATTAAACTGTGCTCACGCATGGATTCAGCGCTCACCGGACGTAGGGTCGCGGATGTAAACTAGGCGTGAGCAGAGACACGCCGCCGACAGCAGAGGGAGTTTCTCTGCAATGATGTTTGTGGTTCCCTGCTCTGGGCTGGTACAAGACTTCGGAAAGATTCCATGTCTGTGAACCAATGAACCCGGAGCTGTAGGCCCAAACCCCACAAAACGTGCACTGGATAAACCCTCACGATCACTCACAAGGCCGAAACTTTACCCTGAGTTTGCACACTGAGCCCTAAGCCCCTTTTGAGCGGACATTCTGTAGCAATCTTCTTTACTTTGCCGAAATAATCAAGCCGATCTCCAGGTTTCGTCGCGTCGATCCGTGCGTCCAGGCCCGCATGCCACATATCGTGTTGTTGGCTTACTGCATCGCTACACCATGGTACCACTTTTCACACATGCATATGCGCTTGGACACTTCTAGATGGA